TTAATACCTTCTCAGCTTCGCATCGAAGCTAAAATAAAAAAAAAAAAAATAAAAAAAAAAACACATCATAGTAAAATTAATACCTTCTCAGCTTCGCATCGAAGCTAAAATATAAAAATGCAACCTAATTTTCACTTTAAATCATTGTGGTTATAAAATCTTTATTAATGGTAAAAATTATGATAACTTCTTGTGCTAATATTATGGGCATCAACAAACTTATAAGATAAAACCATTTTTTTTAAACTTATTATTTGTTCAAGAAGTTATTAATCTTTGTAAATTTTAACATGAAAATTTATCAAAAAGTCCAACATTTTAGAAGTTTAATTTTGTTAAGTGATAACAATGGCTCTTACGTCACAAAGCTTTTTATATTGTACACTAGTTTGTAACGTCATACATTAATAATTTCTTAATTAAAAGAGACTCAGCTAAGTATCCTATAAGAGAATAAAAAGCTCAGCAGGTGAACAGAACGAAGTGTTTACTAAACCAGCATGTTGCATTTAAATAAATACTAACGTAGTATTAATGAAAATTAAAGAATTTTATTAATTGACCTTGAATACATTTTAGATTAAAAATCAGCTGATAAATTTAACCAAATGTTGGATGCATTGTGTCTGTTATCAATTTTGTAAGAAGATACTTCACCTTATTATGAAAATTTTAGTAATAAGTATTTTTTATATATTGTATATTGTACTGAATTATAACCAAAATATGTAGTATCGTGTACTTTAGCTAAAAAAAGAAAGGAAAAATGAATAACATTCAGTTTTTCTTTTGGTTGTTATTATATAAAAATTATTAGCTTATACATATTTAATATTAAAAGCAATCATAAAATTAATTATTATTTTTTGTTTAAGTAAAGTTTTTGTTATTCTTTAATAAATTTCTTACAAATACTGTAATTAAAAGAGCTATGGTTAGTTGACTATATTTTTATTAATCAATTATAGTGTTATAATTAAATTTATTATTCTTTACATACGATTAATATTAAATGTGTAAATTTACAGTAATATTATCACCGAACATATTTCGTGCTTATGTTAAGAAAATTGGCTAATGCAGTTTTATATAATTGTAGATAAATTAATTAAAACTATTATAGTTTATACCAGTTTTATTATGAGTCACTTCTTATTGAAATAAATTGTAAATAGATTGTGTAATGAATTGTTGTTATAGTTGATAGTTGGTAAATATTTTGTGAGTAAATTTTAATGATTACATTTTCATGATACAACGTCATACATTTTGAATACAATTTGATTTTTATTTCAGTTAAATAAAAAACAGTTGTAGAATGTTTATTTGGAAAAATGATAGCTATGGAGGTAATGGAATTATTTACAGCTTTAGAATCTAATCAAGCTCATGAAGTTGAAGATGTTAAACATAAATTTCATGAACAATTTAATAGTAGTGAGTTATTATTACAGTCAGATTAATTGTTATTAATAATTTCAAAAATCAAGTTTCATCAATTTTAACTTAAAGCAACCTACCTTTATAACTAAATAATATATCTTATAGCTCGGGAACCTTGGTTATTAAATGGAATGTATGATTACTTTATGTCTACTGGATCTCAACGTGCAGTTGAAGTGTTAGTAGCTATAAGGGAACCACATGACAAATATCTCTTTGACAGGTAAATTGTTGTGAAGTTATTAATCATTTTAGTTATTTAGTAAGTAATTTAATTTTTATATTTGAAGACTTGGAGATGGTTTACGTAGTTCTAGCCGCTTACAAGCACTCACATTACTAGGACATGTAGTGAAAAGACAACCAACATGGCTATTCAAAATAACTAATCATTCTTTAATTAAAGATTTAATAAGAATTTTAAAGGTAATTATATTTTAGTGAAATCAAAAAATAAAAATAAATAAAGATTTTTAATAAACTGAAATAAGTCTTCTTCTTCTAATATTTTAACTATTTTATTTATTATAAACATGAGAATTTTTACTTAGATTTTATGTATAATTAGATTAACTAAAATTTATTTAATCTAAATATAGTTAAAATGGTGCTTTTATATGTTTTAATTTTATTATTTGTTGTTAAAAAGATTGTTTGATTTGTTTAATTTTATTCCAAATTTTATGGAAGATATATTCCTTATATCTTTCATAAGATTTGGACTATTTTATTAAGGTCCTTACAAGTTTCTTTGTAAAGAGCTTAACCTTAAAAACCCATCTAATTTACTTATTTAAAACTTTTATACTGTAAAATAGAATTGTTCACTATTTAATCCACTGTAGTTTTCCATTTTCTCTCTTAAGTCATTATTAAAAAGGCCTAGTTTAATGAATTAAAATAGTCAGGGGTTAGTAAATGATAATAATTAGTCTAATCTTAATTAACCTTTAATAGGCTAAATATACCATCTTCCCATATTATAATATTTAATAGTTATTGTAAATAAAAAACACTGCTATTTATTTAATTTGCATAACAAATATTTATGTTTACTCATTAATAATATTAATTATTTATTATGTTTTAGTTACTAATTTGTATAACTTGTATATCGAACAGTGTATCAGTGATAATAAAGAAAATTTTTATCATTTAAATTTTCATTACCTACATAAAAGATACAGAGAATTATCGTCTTACAATATAGGACTTGTCTTTCCTTTTTATGGTCTTTTTTGCTTATAACTTTAAAATTTTGGAGTTTTTAAAATCCATTTTAAAGATCTAATAATAGTGGGTAAATTTTAATGGTTAGGGGGTGGTTTCACCATTATAAATATTATACTGTTAAGCTTAATCAATATTGTATAAAACAGTTTTTAATGAATGTTAACATGAATACATTCATTTTTAGTGAATATGAATGAGAAGGGATTCTTTTTGAAAAAAAAAAAATTTATGTCAAATGCAAATGCATTTACTTATATATTATGTTGAATTGAAAATATTTTTGAATATTGAAATGTAAAAAATGTATGTTAATATACTATATATGAATAAATTAATCATAAATAAAATACATTTTTCACTTATTTCAAATAGTACTTCCTACTTTATATTTAATAAGGTTACATTATACATTATTTTGTAAAAAATTTATGTCTGTAACAGGTTGAAAACGAAATAATTACAATAACTAGTGCGCTTCTTGTGCTTAATGTTTTGTTAACTGTTATTCCTGCATTAATTGCTTCAAGTTTATCTGATATTTTTGAAGGATTTAGGTATGTTTTATATTAGAACAATAGGAATATTTTTTTTAATTAAATGTTTTTTTAAAGTCGATTAGCAGCTTGGAATACATCACACAAACACCGAGCCCCTGAAATACACTTATTTCACCTTCAAATATCATTATATGTATTGTTTGTTCAATTATATAGCATGTATCCGTGCTCGTTTGTTTCATTTTTAAAGTTAGAATATAGTAAGAAGGATAACCATGTAGTTTTTAATCATACTATAAAAGTAAGAAAAAAAACTTATATTAATTTTATAAAATCATTACATTTAGGGTATAATAATTTATGTTTTTATTGCTTTAGCCTATGTTAGAAACAATGAGAATGCATCCCAGTTTAGTTGTAAGCTCCAAAGACTTAGAAACATCTACTGCTAGGTAATTAATATCTTGATAGTCAACAATTAATTAAACAATTTGCAATACAACTTAAAGATATTTTTAAAATAAATATTTATTTTATAGATGGAAAAAAATGGAACAGCATGATGTTGTTATGGAATGTACAAGATATACATTAATGGAAAATAGTGACAGAAATTATCAATCGTCTTCATCCTGGAATACTGCAGAAACAAAATTTTCATCTGCTCTTGGTATTTTTATTTTTGTTTTAAATTATATCGCTTCATTATAATTTAATTAAATTTAATATTATAAAATGTAAATCCTATATAAAATTAAACAAAATTATTTGCATGTCAAGTGTTTAAAGTAAAATTTTATTTAGAAAGTATAAAAAGGTATAACTTAAGCAAATTTAGTAAAAATATTTATCATATAAAATTTCAATACAGACGTTTTATAATACTATTTAAATGATTCAAGTATTTTATTGAATTAAGTTGAGAATAAATTTAGAACTCTTATTTTTTTCGTATAATTTTAGAAGTTTTTTATTGAAAGTTTTATTTATAACATTTTTTTTATACTAATATCTCCAATTAGTGTATTGCTTAGATAATACATTAAAATTAAAGATATTTACTTACAAAAAATTTTTGATTGAATAATTAATGTTTAGTAGCATCATGCATTTTTGAAAATTTTTAAAGTAAAATTTATAAATATCTATATCATGCTTAATGACTTTTTTTTTTGGAAAAAAATTTTTAGTTAATTTCTCATGTCCAACAATATTGTTATATGAATATATATTAACAAGTATTATTAAAAAATTTTCGGAATTGTAGAATATTCAAATATAGTATAATAATTTCTCATCTCATTTTTTAGTATAACTCTTATAAATGAAATATAAAAAATATTGTTAATAAAAAAGTATCACCAAAATTGTGTTATTATAATTTTTAGAAGTGTTGAAATCAAGTATCAGAGCAGCTGGGAATATTCTCAGTCCAAATATAAATAAAGATAAAGAAATAGACTTATGGAGTCCAATGTTGCATTGTGGTGAATTTCATTGTGATTCTGTTCAATCTATTCCTACAACTCCTAATTTACAGGTAAAACATAGGATTAAAATATATCCGTTTTTATTACTTCTTGTTTCAATTTTTTAGAACTATTACACAGCTACATTATTGAATCAAAATGAAAATTCTCCACCTGAAGCAGCAATAGAAGCTACTCCTGAAAGTACTCCAATCAGGGTAAATAGATTTTCTAATTTGTTTCTTTTTTTTTTCTTTTGACTGCTAATTGTACTGTGCAATTATGTGTATTTGCTTCTTTACTTGTTTATTTTTTGCACAATAGAAAATTGTATATATGGCTGTATACCATTATGTAATATATTTGTTTAAATAAAAAATCTTTTTACTTTAATTTTTGCTATTTTGCTATTTGATATTATATAAGTTATAATATACACAGTAATTCAGTCTCTAAATTAGTTTTGCATTTGTAAACTTCTATTGTATTTTAAATAATTGGTTAATTTTTTGTTTCTAAATTTCTATTCTTAAAAAAATAAACAGTAAATTGGACAGTAATATTTTGAGTTACAGACATTTGAATGCTAAAAGTAGTATTGTGATGTACCTTCTAGTATAATTCAATTTTCACTTAAATATTAGCATAAAAAATTATTAAAAAATAAAAATAAATGACTTTGAGAAATTAATAGAAGATCAAAAATTCAAAAATGATTGTTCGTTGATTGTTATATCAAACTGAATCACCCGTTTATAAAACATTTTTTTTCCATGCTAATATTATTAGATACATTTTTTATTTTTTTTATTATATTTAAATAATTTATTTAAGTTGTATAAAAACATAAATTTTTTGTACTTGACAATCATGCTATTTTCATTTAATCTTTTCTGCTATACTTAGTATAATTTTTTTTTTACTTTAATAAGAGAATTAATGTTATGTAGGGTAATAAATGTTATAAATAAATTTTATGTTTATTTATGAAATGTGTTATCTTGTTCAAACTATGTAATAAGTAATATATTAAAAATATTTAAAGTCTAAAAAAAAATATATGTATTAAACATCATCTTAATTTTAAAACTTTTGAATTTTTAATGTTTAAATTTTCAAGCTCATTTGTGTAATTATTTAATAAATTTCCAAACGTATTTATAATATATGAATAATCTTGGTTTTTTTAGCTCTTTATTCGACTTAATTTTAGTAGTTTTTTATTAATATGTACTTCTACTTTAAACAATTACTTATTGTTACTTATTATATTGCAATGGATGTTTATATTGCACAAAACCTTTTTAAATTTCTTTAATTAACATAATGAAAACTTAAATAAGAAATTGAATATTCAAGATTAATATATTACAGCTTTATATGTAAATAATTAACTTTAATGTTCATCTAATTTTATTCGTTCGGTGGAAGTTAATCTTCATAAATTTTCAACTATCGCTTTATTAGTATCACTTTCTGAATTTATTTTGACCTATATCCTACAATGTTAAAAGGATGCTAAATATCAACAATCCAGAGTGCCACCCATAAATTCTACTGTAGTCAGAGCATTGAATTCATTTGGTCTAGAAAACTTGTCTAGACGTAATTCATTGACATCAAATTCGCAACCTAATTCACCATTGAGAAAAGAAGGGTTTGTTTTTCCTTCAGAAGGAATCCAATCACAAGCACTTGTCCGTAGAATGGACAGAATGTTAATGGAACGTAATCAGGTAGAAATTGGCCTACATATCAAACAAACTTATGTTTGTTAAAAGCATCTTGAAGTAAAAGTGTTGAATAATTTTTAATTTTTTTTTTGACAACTTCAGTGTATATATCGGTTTTTAATTGAAATCAATATTAATTGCTTTTTAATTTAATTTTTAACTTAGATAAAACCAGATACTTTTATATTCACATGTGTACTGTTATTGACATTATTTTAGATAACAGAAACAAATAAAGAAGAAAATATACGTTCTGAAGCAAAACCCATTGCAAATCCCTTACAATTAATGTCTAGTTCAGATATTATGCAGGTATCACAATTAGATTTATTGATTTGTTAATTAAGTGTCTTAATTCCAACTCTTACTTGTTAGGTACATAGCTTATTTAGACTTAGCTAATGGTCTAACATTTACTAACAAAAATTGTATTTATTTTACATTTTTTATATATTTTAAGTATTTTTATAAATATAATTTTCTAGTACATAGTTTGTCGTTTATTTGAGTTTAATATATTTTGTTCTCTTTAGAATAGAGATGAGGATTTAATTGAATGTGATCAACAAAGTAATGGATCACCCTGCCAGACTCATGAAGGTGGTTTGCATATGCCTGATTCTGCTTCATTTAAAGAATTTATCATTAGTGTAAGAACACGGCGCCGTTATTATAGTCAATGTACACCTGAAAAAACAATGGGCTTTATTGGTATATTTAAAATTTTCATTTTAGTGTAACTTTGTCTACTATTTTTTTTAAATTAAAAATTAATAGAATTCAATCTTATTTTAGGTCCAAGTACTGGAAGTAGTCCTAGAGAAGGTACTGATTTTTCAATAATAAGTGTAAGAAGAGCTAACTCATGTCCAGAAATTAAAAAAACAAATGGAAATAATATGTCTAATGGTACCACACCTTTACAAGAAGAAAGTGAAGATGACCATGGTGATAGTAGAAATATTAGTAATGGTCATTCGTGTATATCGTCAGTAAGAAACACCTTTAAGTTACATTTTTGAGTCTGTGGTTTTTTTCTTCAAAAATTTGATGTCATAAAAATGTTATTTTGTGATTATTGATAAAATATTACGTACAAGTGTTTTTTTTTATTATTTGCTCTATGAAAAGTCAATTTTATCATGAAGGAATTTTTATCGCACTTAAAATACATTAATTTGCATTAGTCACTATTAACCATAAATACAAAATGATCAGTTTATTATAAACGACTACTTATAAAATAAATACAATAATGAAAAAAACCATATTTAATTAAAAAATTTTTTTTAATAAAGAAAATGATAAGTCAATAACTTTTGGATTAGTAATTCAGATGTTATGATGATTTTAAAATCTAGATCAGATGAGAGGTGCAGGTACGACTATATCATTCAATATTTCTCGACCTTACTACTTTCGTCCAAATATGAAAATGTTAATAAATTCCAAAATTTTGGTCCAAAAGTTAATATTGATCAGTTATTTTCTTAATTAGATCATTTCCTATTTTATAAACAAGTTAAATATCTATATTAATATTAAAAAATTAAAGTTGACAACTCTATTAGTTATAAGGAATGATATTAAAAGTAATTACCAGCTGCAATACCGGATTTAGAGGTGTGGAGGCTCCCTGGTCCCAAATTATTTTCCAAATAAAATGAACAATTTTTTTCCGTCGAATTTTCCAATAAATAATTTATTGTGAACAAATATAGATCTATGAATTCTGTTAATATTTAATATAATCATGTTTGTACAAAGTACTGTAGGTAAAGATAAAATGCGAAAAACATTACAAAAGAAAATTTGTTTAATAGTGTTTACTATTTTGAATTTGAATTTTTTTTTGAATTCTCTATTGTAGGGACCCCTCTTTTGTGGAGGCTTTGGGGCTGTAGCCCCAGTTGCCCTCTCTTAAATCTAGGCCTGACTAGCTGAATAATCAAGAAATACTTGTAACTAATAAAACCAAATTTCTTTTTACTATACTGTATTTATTTTAGGAAGAAATGAGTGGTTTATGATAAATCACTCTGTATGGTTTATTTCTATTGAGCAATCAATAAATTTAATATATAGTGAAATTTTGATTAACTGTCACTGTCACGATCATGACTGTGATGATTAACAGATAGAATTTTCCACTATTTTTAAACAATTTATATATAGTTGTTGCATTGCTTACACCATAATTAGTTAGCTGTGCTCGTGAGGATCACATTCTTTTTTTATGACAAATAACAGAAACTGATGGACAAATGAGTGTCAGTTAATCAAAGTTCAACTGTACTAGTTTTGCAAAATACCCAGAAAAATTATACTTTTTTCTAAAATTATTAAAATAAAATTTATTTATTAGAAAAATACTAAAAAAGAAAATCAAGTAACCAAAAGATTGACAGTATCTACTCAAACGGAACATATTTTACCATATGAACATTTATTTTACTGTTTGTTTCCTGCTTATAATGATTCACAAAATAGTAATATTTTAAAATAATGTGACCAATTTAATATATAATTGTTTTAATTTGACTTATTATTTAGGTAATAAAAATAAATCATATACTAATTTTCGAGAAGATGAATCTTTGTGTTTAGTTGAAAAGTATGTAAGGACATCAGCTATTGTTCTAAATCATCGACATACTGCAGCATCTTGTGAGGATGTTAAATTATTACAAGACCAAGTATCTCTTTTAACGTTGCAGTTACAATTTGAACGCAACCGAAGAGAAGTTCATGCAGAACGTAATCGTAGGCTATTAGGCAAATCACGTACAAGTCGGGCACTTGATGAGCACAACTCTGCTTTGGTAAATTTTAATTGAGGTACCCAAAACTGAAGGAATCAAAGTAACAAAAAATTGATTTTGATATGATTAAGTTTGAGAATTTTATTTTCTTAACACATTAACCGACAGTTACAGAGTTTATCAAATTTTCTTTAATATATGGTACAGTTGAATATATTACTGCAATAGCTGTAATACTATAACATGAATTTTTTCATACTACAATAACAGTAATATCACTACAATAGTAATAACTCTACATCAAAATATATTATTGCTACAGCAGTAGTGTCTATCAATGTGTTAAAATAATTTATTTAATGTAATGATAGTAAATACTACATTATTTAAAAAAGAAGTAATAAGAATTTTAGTCCTCACAAATAATGATAATTTTTCTTTTTAATAGTAATGTTATAAATTTAGATTTTGGCATCTAATCGAACTTTCAATTTTATAATGAACTAAATTAAATAATACAAATATTTATTTGAATCAAACATTAATTTTAACCATTTTCAAAAAAACATTTTTTATATCATTCAACAAATTTTACGTGTTGTATGATTACACTAGTTCAATTTCCATACTAATTTACAAGGAAAAAGTTTGTTTGATTATTTTCAGTCTTTATTTTTACATTTCAAACATAACTACTTTATGTATTTATTTAATTTTTTCCAAAATGTAACTTTGACCTTTTCAGCTTTCGGTGCCTCAACTTTATTGATTAATTGTAATTTTAATATAAAAAAATAACTATTTGGTTTTTAGAAAGACCAAGTTATAATGCTAGAAACTGAATTCAAAAGTATAACTTCTGAACTTGAAAAACTAAGACAATTAACAAGAAATCAAATTAATGAACTAAAAGAAAATGTATCACATTTACAAACTGAGGTAAGTAAACTTAATTAAATATTTAAGTATTTAACAATATAGTGAAAAAAATTGTTTGTAGTGCTCCAAATATCAAGAAGAAACAAAAGCTGCAAATAAAAATTGTCAAGAATTAGAACAACTTTATAATCAAGAGAGAATGAAGACTTTTGAAGTTACTAAAGTTAGTAAAAGATAAACTATCAATTTTATAACATTCACATGTATTGCCTAAAGTACTTACTATTATAATAATAATTATAATTTAACTTTTTAGCAATTATCTGAAACTAAAGGAGAATTGTTTAATACTTTGAGTGAATTAAGTATAGTTCAAGCTGCTGCTGATATAAGTAAAGAGTTAAAAAACACTGTGACAAATTTACAAAGAGAGCTAGTCATTAGTGGAGAAATGCAGTCTCGACAACGTGATATTGTTACTCATGTTAATGCTCTTAAATATGATGCTACTAATGTTATGTTAAGCCAAGAATCATATAAGCACCATACGCGTGGTAAATTACATTTTTTAATTATAATTTTTTTTTTGTTATTTAAGTTATACTTACTTTATAGAACTTCAAGATATGGTCCATAAAAAAACTGCTGAATTAGAAGCAACAAATTCCCGAATAGCAGAACTTGAATTGAGGTTAAAAATTAAAGATGCAAGTTTACAAAATGAAAAAAGAGAAATAGAACGGGTAAAAGAACATTATAGCAAACAAATCGCAGAGTTAGAAGAAGAATGTAGAATTTTAAAAGAAATGCAATGTAGATATCATCAGAACGAGTTAGAAGAATTAAGTAAAAGGGAGTGTTTAACTGATATTCCAAAATTTAATACTGACATTAAATTAGTCAACACTAATTCTCCAATAAGTAGTCAAGGAGCTGAATTTAGACTAAATATGATGTTAGCTAAAAATGATGAAGAAAGTGATGAAAATCATGATGTTACTCTACCTATGTAATTCTTTTAAGTCATTATGAGTGATAGTTTTTAAGGAGTAGTAATTTAACTTATATAAATATTCTAATTTATTGTAAACTTATAAAATTCCTAATCAATTTGAGTGACTTTATTGTTGGTTTTCAGATAATATATTATATGATCTCAAAAATACTCAACAAATAATTATTGACGTTCAATTAGGTGGAATAGTTATATTAACAGTGTACAATGTTATTTCAATGAAGTTTTTTTCATCTATAGTTTATAATGATTAAATAGATATTAAAATTGGCTAAAGTTAAATACATGTAGTAATTTTGTGAGTTCAAAAGTGTCTATTTTTATTTATTTTCATCTACAATATTTGTTTTAAAAATTGTTAAAATTTTTTTTTTTAATTAGAAAAATTGTTACTATGTTTTTATGATTCATATGTTAAATCTTGATACCATTCATTTTGCAATTTTGTAATTTTTTCATGTTATTTATATAAGAGAACAATTTAAACCGTAAAATGTCATTAAATTACTTATTCAACTTAATAAACTTTCCTTACTTATTAATTATTTTGTTTTCCTTTTTGATATAATCTCAATCAACAAAAAAAGGTTTAATTATACAAAATGAAGTTTTGTCAAGCTGTCATGAGAATATCATTCTGTAACCCCTAAAGATATGCCAGACACCCCATTTGGAATCTAATTTCATAATAATACAAAGTTTACTCTGGTATTTCATACATAATTATACATTATGGCGTAACATTCACTTTTTTTTGGTCTATTATGTTTTGTATTGATGACCTATTATTAGTCTATAAAATTAGATGTATGGTTAAAAATTAGTTAATTTGATTGTTTAAAATCATAATTTATAAATTAATATTAATGTCGTATTGTTATTTTCTTTGTTACTTAAAGTATAGTATCTAGTATACTAATCTTTAAATACTTTTTAACCATTCCAAAAAGTCAATTTTTTCTAAATATGTAAAATAAATTAGAGTTATGAATCGTAAAAAAAAAAATACGAACAAAATAGTTAAAAATTAAAACTATTTAAAAAGCTTTAAATATGTAAATTAAAATAAATATTCTTATTTAAATTCAAGGTTTTAAAAATAAATAGGTTACAATGAAATAACTGGTTTTATAGGTTCTATTTCAATCCCTGGTTTTAAGTAAATATCTCACCACAACTTAAAAATTTCTAGATACGTAATCTAATAAATAAAAACTATCTTCTCAAAGTAAATGACAGCATAATTGAAATAACGCTAATAACCATAGATTTTTTAGAGATTACTTTTGTGGGAATAATCACTTGCCATTTTTTTTTATTGATTAAATTCTGTTAACACGGTTATTAGTGTAACATACCACCTAGATCGTCATGCGTTAACTAAATTCCTTTGATTATTGTGTTGATTTAGTTGAACGGTAGTGGCGGGAAATTAAAAAAAATAATATAATTATATAAAACTAATAAACTATTTACTAATTAAATTAATTGCAACACGTTGTACTATGATATTAAGCAAAAAAAAAAGAATGGGGTGAGATTTCATATATTTCTAATTTCTTAGATCTAGTTGACTTAATGTCATGAGGTGTCAAATTATTGAAGTAACTGAATCCCAGGGATTTAGGTGTCTGTTTATTGGTTATTAGAGACTTCAATTTACTATAATATCCATCTTGATATTTTAGGGGAAACAAAGTTGTAACTAATAGATGATTAGATTAAAATATCTAAATTACTGTTAGTATAAATATATTAATATTTTTTATATCGGTATTGTTATATTTGGTGTTAATATTTCCACTCATTATAATGTTCTAATCGTTCAATTTTATCCCACCAGCTCAGTAGAATTAGATATGTTTCTAAGATTGTATTGAAAGGGTTACGTCACTTTTTAGGACCACTGTTTACAAATTATATCCCGTCACATGTAGTAGGCAGTACGTTTTGCTGTAACTAAGAGACGAACGTGCACTTCTATCGTTTTCATCGGTACTCGCGATGGTATGTACAATAATTTTTGTTTTTATTAATTTCAAATTAAAATAGTTTTTCTATACCATTATATAAATTATATATAGAAAATTGGTTACTATGAAAAAATAAAAACAAATAAATAATAATAATAAAATGTATTAAATATCTATTGACTAATAAGTATTTCTTCTTGTATTGTGATAAAATTAAAGCAATAAGCTATCAAAATATTAAAATTGAATGATCAAATACTAAAGCTTAAAGTATTATAAAAACTATTTAATTTAATTTATATGGTGGTTATAAATTCTCTTTGTTTAGGAAAAAAACATTGTAAAATTGTTAATTTTTTTGTAATAATTCATTATGAAAATATTTAATTGATTCTTAAAATAATTATATTTTCTTTTTAATATTCTAAAATTATGATATATATTGCTTTAAAATAATTAATTCTAATTCCTATTTATCTTGATTGTTGATCTTTATGTGTAAAAGGGCTTTACAATTTTATCGTAATTGATAAGTTAAAATATTTTAAAATATGCCAAAAACCTTGCTGCTCAAACAATATTTTTTATTTATTTTTACATTAATAATATTTTTCATATTCGAAATGTTTTTCTATTTATAACGATCTTATCATACTATATTATTTTCGAATTGATGTATTTTAATATAGCACCCTTATTTTAACTTCCTTTTAAAAGGTTAACTTTTTAATTTTAAGGACCATAACCCCTAATCATTCATGACGTATACAGGGTGTTCAGTAAGTCAAGAAACGGGTTTCTATTGTTCTCATTGTTTGTAACTGTATAGTTTTACCTTATTATACATAAAAAATGAATCAATTAATTAACTATGAAAAATGTTTGAATATCTATTTCGATACAGACAAAAGTCTGTGGTTAAATTGTATATGACAATTAAAAAAATATTAAATAGGTACTATTGATTTTTAATGTATACACTTTTGGAATAATTTTTTATTACAGAGTAATGCTACAATTTCCTGGAAAAAAATTATAGTTATGAAATAAATAGAAATTTCTACAAATTTCAATTTTTAAAATCATCTTATCATATTTGCTATAAAATTTTATCTTGGATTTAATTACAAATTAGTGGCATTAGTGTTTTTATTATAAGGAAGTGAGGGCTGTACCGGAAATAATGATTGTCGTAATTCAATAACCTGATCAAGTTTCTTTAGGTCATTTTGACCTGTTTGAGTGTTAGTATTATGTACCTTATGCAACGGATGTGATTGTAATGAGCACCCAACTGGTTTCTTACGCGTTCGTTGACCACTTTCTCTCGGAAATCATACTTTATTATGCTCCACTAAATCATCTTGGTGTAATTTTATTAATGTAGTTTAAATAGTAACGCTGAAGTGTATTTTGTTTGTGTTCGAGGTAAACATTAAATACATGATAATAGTTTTTATCAATAAATTTAATTTTTTTTAATAAATAAGCAATTTAAATTATCACTGTGTTTCAAATTTTATTATACTTAGTTTTATTAAAATTCAATTTAAGGAATAAAAGGTAAGTTCTAATTAAATCGTTTACAATGGTTAAATTATATTCAAAATTATAATTTAATTATATTATAAGATGAACTATTAAATCCATTTAAATCAAATTACCACAATACTTAGTTTTTTTTTATTTGTTTATAAAGATAATTAAAAATTTAATTTTTTTAAAACTGCTTATTGAATTTTAAATCTCAATTTGTCGCATCAATTAATACAACAAATCTTGTTTTTATTAAAATGCAATAGACACAATACTTTGAAATAATTTTTGATGAATTTAAATTTAAAATCATATGAATATATGATTTCAAATAAAAGGATATTGGTTTTATTAGGTAAAATTGTTCAATATAATTGTCAGACAATCCGCTGATTTTGTAAAAGATTTGAATTTCTGTCAATTCATATTTAAACAATCTACTAGGGAGGAATTCATATTTTTTAACTACCAAAGGTATAAAAGGTATCAGGAGTGGAACCCCCCCCCTCCCGATAGAAAATAGATAGTTTATTTTTAAGCATTGCCTATATTAAGTCAAGATGTGTCAATTCGTTTTATTAAAAAAATCATCTTGTCCCTAGTATGGAGTAAGATAACGAATTAGATTTTTTTTTTAAGTTAATTAATCATGTTTTAAATAATAAATATAATAACTGATATTAAATATCAGATTTTCTACCAATTGATCTCAATATATCAAGTAATATTTCTACCAAGTTCCAATTTATTGTGGTGATTACCTTCTTTAGGAGATTCAACTAAAGCTTAAAGATATCAACTTGCTCCACCATCCTTATATTTACGAATGAATTATCCAGGCTGTGACGATTCATTACTGTAATTACAAATTATGTACCTTAGACAATTGTTATAGGCAATAACTTAAATGTTGTTTAACAGTAGGATGATGTAATGAGTTATTTATGGTTTATTTGGACATGCAACAACATCTGGAGAGACTTAAATTTAACTAGACATGCCTACTATGATTTTCATATGATATTTTATTCACAGTGTATTTTAGTAAAAGGAAAATAATAAAACTAGTTATTATTCAATAAAATCATATACTTTCGCTTTTATATTTTTTTTATTCACTTTTATTATACTATAATTAAGAGTTGTTATGAAAATACGTCATTTATTTTTACTGAAAAAATATCTGTTTAACGGAAGTTTTCAGTCATTTTTTTTTTTGGTATATTAATAATGGTTTTTAATGAGGTAATAAAATATATTGTATAAAATTTTGTATTTAATTGTATTAAGAGTTTAAATAGTATGAAGTTGATTATGAATTGATTATAGAATTATACTGAGCAATTATCAGCTTAAAGATTTTTTATGAATTCTAGTAAGCACGAAATATTAAAGTTTAATATAATTTATTATTCTTAAAAAATTTCAAGGTAAAAAAAAGTTTTGAAATTAATTAGTGCTATAAATGCTAAGAGAAAAATTACCATTCCGTTTATTTAAAAAACGTTTAAGTGATCACTCTTTTATCAGTTTTAGAAATACACGAATGAGAATATACGAGTGTTCAATAAGTACTTTTATATTCGACCTTAACATAGAGATGGGTTGGCAAATATAATTCAATACTTAATGACGTCACTCACGTCTTAAGTATGTGACATGCATGAATATGTTTGAATTTCTTGGACACTGAGATGTTATACTTGAGTGAATAGAAAATAAATAATAACATTTCCACAGTTGACCGAATAACAACATGAAGTTTTTATATATTGCTTTTATCAATCAATACCTAATATATTACACATTTAGTGGTCTTTATCGGTGCAATCAAATTTCATTGACAATTAAAATAGTACTGATGTTTCTTAATTAAAATTATATAAAGCGCGATGTTATTATTTTTAATTACTACATTCGAGAATTGTGATAGTTATTATTGTATGAAAGATTAGATTATATTTTAAATGTATTAATAGTTAATGAATTTTCAATTCTAAAGATTTTTAAACCTCAATTAAACCATGTAAGTTTAATATTTGAAGTAATACTATATTATTACAAGAAAAAAAAAACTATGAAGTTAACCCATCCGAAAATTATGATTAATATTGCAACAAAATAATTATAATATTAAGAGAGCTATTAATTTAGTCGAACTAACTATAAAAAATAGTTAATTTTTTTATTTAGTAATTCCAAAAAGATATTATAGTTGGGTCTACTTAATAAGTTATTTCTTCAAACTATGTGATTATTTTGTCCAGGACAACAAAATGTTATGAATAACATTCAAAACGGTAAATAAACTATGTGAATTGTGTCGAACCCTTTCAACGTTCAAAATAAAAATGATGTAACATTTAAATATTGAATAATGTTTAACCAAATTTTAAGATAGCGTTATAATATTTTTAAACGTTAAAAAGAAAATATTTATAATGTGACCCGAATTTTTATTATTTAATAATAACTGAAAAATATTTTATTCTGTATATTGTATATTAGAAATATTTTTAACTATACTATTACTTCTTAATGTTCAATATCATTAAAATAGAAAAAAATAATTATTGATAAAACAAACTGAAAAATATATCCAGCGTTAAGACAAAGAATAGATAGATTTATTATTAATATCATTGGGATATCCTTGAAAATGAAAGAAGTTGAATTGATATAACCTCATGTGTTGATTCAAAGCGTATAGCGTATCACCGGTTATATTTACGTAATATTAGAAACGATAAATAACTATTATCATATAGACATAAAGGATACTAGAAATCATTACACAAAAATTACACCACTAGTAATTTCTTCAAATATTTAATAACTATTTGCTTATTGTCGATGTATCGAAATCGCGAAAACGGTCCGTTTTTTATTCTTTTATTGCATAGTAAAGCATAGTAATGCTTGGAAGTCTAAAATCTACTTTTATATATCTTATTATGACCTATGATTTTTTTTGACAAATTTCGATTAAAAAGTTCATTTAAATGGGGCCTAGTGTTAATATGACTAGTACTAATTAGGCAGAAATTCTAAAAATAAAAAAAAATTAAAAGTTTAAATCTTTCCTTAATTTTTTTAAATTCAACTCCTAGACATATAACTATTTGACAAGCTTTTTTGCGTTTCGTAACATAGAGTTGTACATTTTTTAAAATTCTAATAGTTCAAACTATTGCGTGTTAATTTATATTTCAAGAACCTAAGGAGTTTCGTGCCATTACTCCAGAGATTCAAGGCTATTTTATTGTCAAATATTTATATAATAATAAAGTTTTTTGCAATTGAAATTTTAATAGGGACATTGAGAGTTTTTAATAAGTTAGCACTTATCTAATATTATTTTAATGAATAGGAAGTACGAGTTATTTTTTTCCAAATAAAAAAGTACTTATAGCCATTCTGTATGTACATACATTTTACATTCAAACATCAATTTATCATTACACTTACTTAATAAAACATTACTGTAAAAAAGTATTTGTCACTTAGATAACATTTATATCCTAGAAATAATAAAACTATTTAGTAAATGCCAAAATAATATTATTATTTAACTACGGGTAGTAGTTAAATATACTTGTATTTTTTTCTATTTTATATATTTATTGATTACAGGTGATGAGTTAACTCAGCACACAAATTACCATAAGAATGGAACTTACCATGGCACAAAGTGATAAAAATGGAGGTGATAGACCCACAGCCATTATGGTCAGAGGGGCATATAAAAGATATAATCCTTATAGCGTTGTTCTCAGAGGACTAAACATGACTGTACCCGAGGGTACAATGTAAGTAAAAAACATTAGAAACTTAAGTTAATCTAAGTAAACTAAAAACTATAAAAGGTTTTGAGCGCAGTAATAAACAAATACTTATAAATTTTTGAAAATGTTTTGGAACATCTAGAAAAATTAACTCAAATTAAATTTAATCAAATTAAAGCATTTGAAACGGTCTATATAATTATAAAAAGAACAAATCAGCATTATACTATGTAAAATCAGCTGCCAAAAGGTAAAAATACATACTTTTTTTCTTAAAAAAAATGTTTTCTTTTCAATTTTTGACATTGTTGTAAAACGTATGGGAACTTAAAATTTATATCAAATTAATGATTTGGAATTAAGGCGTTTTACATTGTAGAGGTATAAGTGACATTCATAAAAAATTTAGTTATCTATATAATTGAATTTAAAGTTAATAGTTATATTTAGTAAAAAGAAAAGAATAGAGAATTTTTTGATTTTATAAAGATATCCCTTTCATTGTTTAAATATCATGATTCTTATGGGTATACTTTAGAAAGATATTTTTGATAGTCAAAAAAGAATAAATCATACTGTATTTTTTTCATAATGTTATATCATTATTTAACTACTTCTATACATATAGAGAAAGGTGAAACATCTCTCTAAACGGCAACATCATGGTCGTTGACGCAATGATAGCAGTATAATATTGCTTATGCATTTTATGTATGCGTTAATTTTTATTAAATATTATATAAACTTTCTATGATTTACAATATACTTAAAATATTGTTTGTACTAAAAGTCTCCAACACGTTCAAATTAGAAAATTAAAAGCATTCTAAAAATTTAAAGTATACTTGGATATTTTTAAGGAAATAATTAATATTTAATTATTAATTATAACTATTAAAAAAAAAACGGTAGCACAGTGGGGTCGCGGCATAGTAGAGACATTGCATAGTAGGGTCCAGTATAGATTTAATCTGACAGTGATTAAAATCACTATCATAAGAAACGCTTCGATGCAAATCTGTAGATAGTGTTTAATTTTAAAAAATTGATGGATAATTGCAAAAGCAACATCAACTTCTATTAAAATAAAATACAAAACCCATAATTATCATACAAAAATAGTATATTTTTCAATATGGTAGCCATTTGCGTATAGAAGATAGATCGTCGGGACAAATTTTTTTTTTTCATTTTGTAGTACATAAAATAAGCTTTAATTTTATATATGTTTAAAGGACGCAGTATTTCCGGAACATTTTCAAAAATTAAGTTGAAAAAGTTATTTTTTGTAAAAAAGTTACTATTTTAAATCCTCCCAGTGAGCAGAATAAGTGTTAGATTTTCAAAAAAAATTATATCAAATGAAAGGGAAATATCTAAGGTTTCAATACAAAAAAATATTATTTTTATTTGTTCATTTTTGAAAAAGTTATGGCAGTTTTAAGTACAAAAAACATCCCGATAAAATGTAATTTTTATCGCAAACATTACATTTTTTTTTAAATTTTCGACAGCCATTTGCACATAGAAGATAAGATGTCGGGACAAATTTTTTTTTTTCATTTGATAGTATATAACATAACCTTTGATTTGATATATGTTTAAAGGACGCAGTATTTCCGGAACATTTTCAAAAGTTCAGTTGAAAAAGATCTATGTTTTTTACAATATTTTAAGTTTTGAACGCCCCCTATATAAGGGGAAATTGTCCAATTTTAATAAAAAGTATGTCAAATGAAAGATGTACTTATAATGTATTTAGAAAAAAAAAATTTGTGCTGATATATACATTTTTCAAAAAGTTATAGCATTTTTAAGTTGAAAATTTAAAATCGAAAATCGAAAATTTTAACACAAAAATAGTGTTTTTTTAACTACGGCAGCCGTTTAAATGTAGAAAAAAAAGTGTCGGGACAAATTTTTTTTTTTCATTTTGTAGTACATAAAATAAGCTTTAATTTGATATATGTTTAAAGGACGCAGTCTTTCCGGAACATTTTCAAAAATTAAGTTGAAAAAATTAATTTTTGTAAAAAAGTTGCCATTTTAAATCCCCCCCAATGAGCAGGTTAAGTGATAGATTTTCAAAAAAATGATATCAAATGAAAGGTAAATATCTAAGGTTTTAGTATAAAAAAAAATTATGTTGATTTGTTGATTTTTCAAAAAGTTATGGAAGTTTTAAGAAAAAAAAGTGAAAAAATTTCGAAAATTAGCGATTTTTAAATTTGTAATTTTTTTGGATATTTCCCCCATTTGCGGGGAACGAGGGAATTTTTTTCAATTTTTAAGGGTAATGTCTTCAACTAGATACGATTTGTGATCTTTTGACGTATTTTTGAAAGAAATCGGTCCAGTGAGAGCTGAGAAAAAGTGGCAACAGACATAAAAAAAAAAAAAAACACATCATAGTAAAATTAATACCTTCTCCGCTTCGCATCGAAGCTAAAAAATTTCCGGTTGAAATCAACGAGATTTTTTATAAAAAAGTTACGTGATTGTTTCGTTGAGTAATAATTCAATATGTATGATAATTCTGAATTAATATAATATCAAGATATTATATTAATTGCGTTATTTGTTATAAAAAAAATTGATTTCAAAAATCATGACAATATCTCGATGTTATTTTTTAGATATGGTCTTTTGGGACCTAGTGGCTGTGGTAAAACTACTCTTTTAAGTTGTATGGTAGGAAGATGTCAGCTTGATGCTGGAGATATACAAGTTAAAGCCAAAACCAAAATTAATATTGGATATATGCCTCAAGTAATATTAATGACGAATTTCCTAATTAAGTTAAAAACAATGAACATAAAATTTTTTATTTTAGGAGTTAGCTTTATATAAAGAATTTAGTATTCGAGAAACTATGATTTATTATGGCAGATTGTTTGGAATGAGTCATAAACAAATAGAAACTAGAACTTATGAACTTTTAAAGTTTCTAGAACTACCAGGAGAAAGTAATATTGTTAGTAGACTGAGGTAATGAATTATTTTCAATCGATAACTTCATAAAGTATTTATTATCACTACTAATAAAGAAAAAACTTATAGTGGTGGTCAAGAAAGAAGAGTATCATTTGCAGTTGCTTTGCTTCATGATCCTCAATTGTTGATCCTTGATGAACCAACAGTAGGCGTTGATCCTGTATTGAGCGCAAGGTATATAAACATAAATTTTATGATATTATAAAAAATAATCTTTAATTTTTTTAGTATTTGGCAACATCTTCTTGATTTAACGGCAAATGGAAATAAAACAGTCGTTATTACAACTCATTATATCGAAGAAGCTAGGCAAGCACATACGGTTTGTTTTTTTTTGTACCATTAACATAAAATATAATGAAAACTTACTTATTTTATTAACTTCGACATGAAAAACAATTTTGGTTAGATTAACCACAAAAACGGTTAATATAGTGTAAATTGAAATTAAAACAGTTGGAATAACTGACAATTCGATGAATCCAAATATTTACTTGGTTATTCAAACTACCTTAACTACAATTATCACTATATTAACCATTTATTTTTTCCATGCATGCGTAGTTGACAAACTTTTAGTTTTAATTTTTTGAATATCTAAACTTAACATTAACCACTTGGGTATGAGATACTATGAAAATCATATCAAGATTTTTATCATTTCAGTTTTTGAAAAGGTTTCATATAAGCTATATTTTTTAAACCTGCATTAAATTAATGCTAGTTCAATATAAATCAAAATGAAAAAATAAAAAAGCCAAGTAAAGTCGGGATCTAGCATCTCAGCAACAATCAAAGCTAAAATTATTATCTCGATTTTTAGTAGTTGACAGACATTTAAGTAAAAAATCATACAATTTTCTATAAAAGTGACTGATTTTCAAGGGTTTTGCATAGAAATATAACATCTAAATAGTTAATAACTAAATTAAGTAATAGCTTATTTAATGAACTATATGACTAAAAGAAGAAAGACGTTCCGATAACTTGTCTACTATGAGAAATCGGCTTAAAAGTCGAAAATCATATAATTTTTTGTGGAAATCTTAATTTTTTTAAAAATATGTTTCAAATTTGCATTGAAGCGTTAATTACTGTCAATATTAATCAATATTAATCGGTATGTTTAAATTAGTGATGGGCATTTTGGAATATTTTAAACTATTCGAATTGTTTTTATACAACCGAATAGTTTAATTTTAGCATAAACTATCGAATAGTTTTAAAAACTATTCGAATGAGCTACCGAATGGTTTCAAAAAATATTCGATTAATTCTACCTAAAATTTTTATTCAGTACACTTAATTATAATAAAAAGATAATTAACGAATACTTAAAATAAATTATTATACAATTAATAATAGTAAAAATTAGTGATGGGCATTTTCAAATATTTTAAACTATCGATTAACTGTGTTCGACTGTGTTTATACAACCTAATAGTTTATTTTTAGTATAGACTATTCGAATAGTTTTTGAATGACTATCGAATAGTTCGATAGTTACTATTTGATATTTCCCATCACTAGTTTAAATGTACTTTTAATGTTAAAAAGTATAAAATGCCTCAATTTTACTTTGCTGGATGCCTATTGTACTTTATATATTTAATTTAATTTTGTACAGATTGGATTAATGAGGGATGGTCAATTATTAGCTGAAGAATCTCCTACTCAACTTCTTATTAAACATAATTGTACATCATTGGAACATGCATTTTTAGAGCTTAGTAAACGTCAAACACGTAGTAGTATTATGGATAGAGAAGATGAAAATTGTGTAAGTTGAGAATGATTCAAGATTTTTATTCATTTTTATGAATTAAAAAAAAATTAAACAGAGGTTTATGCAAAAAATTAGTTTCAATCCTCTGTGATTAATAAAAATGTTAAATATATAATTTGACTTTTTTTTTTTTTGTACAATAACTTAGAATATTGAAACATATCCAGTTCCAGACAAAAAACCATTACCTCCATTAAAACCAGATATTATATGCTCAAAAAGTCGTGTGATTGCTCAATTAATGAAGAATTTCTACTGGATGAAAAGAAATATACCGTAATTTTTTCCTCACAATAAAAATTATACTTATTCTATAATTTAATATATTTGAATGTTTTATTAGTGTACTTTTATTTAAATATTTTTTATATTTAACATACGTTTACGCAAAAAAACTGCAGTATGTTTGAATGCTATTTAAACATAAATTAGTTCTTGATTTATATAAATTGACTTGGAACAAATCTGTACTTCGGCGTTTTAATAGGTTAACTGGTCCAATTACTAAGCATCCCCCAATAAGTGAACGCCATCAGTTTACTTGAAATTTTTATTTCTCTCGCATTAAAGTTGAGTGGTTTTATTAATTTGTGATAGATGACTTAAATGACAAAATATAAAACATACATTTTTACGTTTAAATATATGATCAACCGATATTCCGTTTAGTTATTGGACGTACTCGGTTTTTGAACTTAAATTCACTTTGGTAGGTTTATTTTTTATTTGATATCATTTATTTAAAGTATTGAAATTTATGATCATATGTTATTCATTTAATATTCAGATTTTAAAAGTTGATTCGTCATGATAAATTTTTTATATAATTTTTAATTTCAATAAATACTTAATTGAATCGAAGACTAGAAGAGTTACCTTATCAAAATTCGATTCTATACCATCGAACTACATAAATTTCCCTATCATTTTCAATATGTGTATTAAATTACTTGCTTTAGAGGGTAGTAAAACAAATTCTAAATTAGTTTATTGCAAGTAATTTATAATAGGGTATTATTTTTAAATTGAATTTTCACTTTAATTATAGTTTAATGTAGATTTTAATATTATAGAATCATGTGTTTTCTTATGATCTTGCCAGTGGTGCAATGTTATCTATTTTGTACGTGTATTGGTCGTGATCCTAAAGGATTAAAAATAGCCGTTGTAAATGAAGAATTATCATTCGGAATGGGAAGTTGTAGTGACTATCCAATGCGAGGATGCAATTTTAGTGTTCCATTGAGTTGTCGGTATATGCAAAATCTTCGGGATAAAAGTTACAATTTGGTATTATAATTAAATGCCAAATTTAACCAATTGTAATAAATTTACGTTAAATTATTACAGATAGAATTTGACTCCTTAGATAAGGCAAAGTTTGCTGTTAAGAAGAATCGTGTCTGGGGAGTACTTTACTTTGAAAAAGGATACTCTGAATCATTGGGAGCTCGTATTCAAATGCCCGATAATTTAACGGAAAGAACTTTGAATATGAGTGATGTTAATATATGGCAAGATATGTCAAGTTAGAATGATATTTAATTATAATTTCGATTTATAATTACTTTGTAATAATTTTAATTTAAAACATTATAGATCAATATGTAAGCAATTTATTACGTAGGGATATGTTATCTAAATATGTGCTTTTTCTACAAAAAGTATTCAAAGATTGTAATTGGCCTATAGCCTTGGCAGATATCCCTATAAAGGTATGTGTGACATTAAAATGTTAGTGATCATTAGTTTTAAATTATAATGTTTATATAGATGGAAGACGCAATTTACGGAAGCAATGACCCAAGTTTCGGTCATTTTACTGCTCCAGCTATAATTTCTTTGTAAGTGTTCTAGTACCCCTTAAGGTGTTGAACTATTATATTAAAATCGCTGTGTTACAGATTTGAGTTTTATTTGCCAATGGTGTTTACTGTGGGAGCAATTTTAATGGAGAAAATGGGTGGTTTGCTTGAAAGAAGTCTTGTTGCCGGTAAGAAACATATTTGTGTGAATTGTTAAAATTAAAAAATTAAATATTATATTTTTGACTTTTAGGCGTTACTGTCATCGAAGTTTTAATTTCTCATATTGTTGTTCAATATATTGTTTTGAGCATACAAACGGCCCTTATGATGTTGGTTCTGTTTGTATTCTTTGACAATCCTATGGAAGGTAGCTTAATATGGACGTTATCACTCCTATTTTTAACAGGAACCAGTGGAATGTGTTATGGTAATCGATAATTCATTAATTATTATTAAATCATTAGATCTTGAAAAACATAATATTTTTTAGGCTTTATGGTTTCCGTGTTTTGTAACACTGACACTTCAGCTACTTTTATGGGCTTAGGTAGTTTTTTCCCATTAGCTATGCTTAGTGGAATGATTTGGCCTTTAGAAGGAATGCATTGGATTCTTAGATCTATTGGATGGGTATTACCTATAACATTATCAACTGAATCATTCAGGGCTTTGTCAGCAAGAAATTGGTCTATAACCCATCCAACAGTTTACAAAGGATTTTTATCTGCTTCTGGCTGGATCACTGTTTTCATGCTAATTACTATTATTGTAGTAAAAAAGAATAACGGACTGAGAAAAGCTATCAAATAAAATGTATTTAACGAAAATTCATATTTAAGTTTAGAAATCTGATGACTTTATTATTATTTATCAGAGCCTCTGAAATCACTTATATCTTAAATTAATTCGTATCAGCAATTTTAAATCTTAAAAATATATTTAACAATTATCGTAGGTGAAGGAATTTAATTCTCTTAATATTAAATATGAGCTAAGCTTCACAAATTGTCCACCTCTATTGAATTGGTCATCGACTCGTGTTTCATTAGTGTAACTTATAAATGATTCAAATACATAAAATTTCTAGCTTTATAACATAAAAAAAAAATTTTAATCACATGATTTTTTAAATAAAAAAAATTATTGTATTTTTTTAAATTTAGTTTAATAAAGTGTAAAAATTATTTTATTACTTTTTTTATAAACAATTAATTTTGTTTTTTGTTTGTAAAATTTTTATGTAATTATGTAAAATTAAAAATTAAATCATTGTAAATTAATGTACATAACAATTATAAATGTAATAAATAGTGTACAAGACTATTATAATATTCTTAAATTTATTTTAAAAAGTGTTCCAATTATTACTTTTGCTACAATTGTTGTGTGGTTTGATAGATTTGTAAATAGAATTGTTATAAGTTAAAATAGAATAGCCATGTAAATCAATACCTCTGCTACACCTAAGTAAAAATTATATTTTTGTCTATAATTTGTTGTAAGTAATTATATTTACTTAAAACTGTAAAATGATTATGATTTTCAATAACAATGCGTCTAAAAAAATCTTCCAGACTTTAGCTTGAAGATTTATCATACAAATCTATGATATTATTGCTTTCTATGATAGCATAGAACTTTGATACACAACAGTAAAGAATATAGTAGTCAATTTTTGTACAAACTAAATGTATGATTTTAGACCAAATGTATTTAATTGAAATCTGAATGGAATATTACTATTAATTCTCATTAAAGTCTTGAATTTGTCCACAAAGACCACCCTATTGTTACCTAAGCTATGCTAACAGACTACCTTTTCATTAGAAATATAGCAATAGAAATTTATATTTAGCAATTACTTATCTGCGTTTTTTAATTTTCATAATTTTGATCTATAGGGTAATTGAAATAAATATTTTAATAAAATGTTTTACGAAATTTTGCTTTTATTTATAATTATAATAAATATTATTAGTTAGATTAAAAATATATCTAATTTTAAAAATATAATACCAAATAACGTTCCTAAAACGAACACAGGTAAATTTGATTTATTTTCTGTTGATCCTCCATAATCTGTCCATGTTTCCCAATATCCGTTAAAATTTTTTGGATCAGATTTTGAATCGATAGTGGGTATTTTTTGTTTTATTATTTCTACTTTAAATTGAGACATCATGTCTAAAAACATACTTAAAAGTTGAGGGTGTTTTTTTGCTACATTGGTGTATTCACATGGGTCATTTTCTATATCGAATAAACAGTAATCATCGAAACATTCATAGTGCTCGCTTGGATTTTGAATACGCTCGGAACACTTATCGTGTACTCTAGCTTGAGATCGGATGTTATAAAAGAGCTGACTTGAGGTAACTGAGTCCATGCATTCTTCTTTTGTAATTTTACAATTAATTTTAGATAGATGAGATCCAACACTGCTGGCCATAACAATATCCATGTCATATTCAGGCCCAGTATCACCAGGGTCACCACTGTATCTGAGAAAGTATACAATATCACTAGTACGATTACCTGAAAATAAAATTAGTTACCTATTGTTAAGTATTAAAAATTACACATTTTATATAAATGAAGAGGGACTGAGTAGCCTCATCGGTAACGCGACAGTGCCTCGAGTTCGAAACTCGGCAAATGAAGCGACTTCATTTGCCGAGCTAGAGTTTGGTATCAGCTCAGTAATTGGAGTCGCTATCCCTCACTATGGTGACGAACTAACCACCCATACCGGAGTATCAATAGTTAAGAAACAAGGTAAATCAACTAAAATTGGAGAAACAGCGAAGTAAGTTATATGTTTCAATAACAAAATTATTTTGTTGAAGTCATATTTTTAGTCTCATAAAAGCCATTATTTCTCATTTTATTTGTCCATAATATAATAAAAGTTTTATAAGTAATGTCTTACTATTAGGTACTTAAGTCTCTAAAATATTATAAAAAAATAATAATGTCATTAGATAAACATCAAGATCAAATGTTATCGTACCCCGTTGTGTTTTTATACGGTTCTGTTTTTTTTTTACTTTATGTTTCGCGTTCATTTTAGTTAAGAATTTTACTGGTAATAAATAATAATGTCAATAACAGATAAAACTTTAGAAGATAGAAAACAAGTGAAAATAACAATAAATGAACGATTTATATGATGTAGTTAAAAATTAAGATTTAGTTAACATGAAATGGTAAATGACTGTACGTACTGGCATCCAAAATGTTTTCAAGTATTTAATGAAGTGGACATAGCTAAATTATTGCATCATTTTAATGGACTCAAAACGCATGATAATCAAAATAGTTATTTATCAGGATTAATTACAACAATATCAATGCAAAACAGAATATCGAAAAATGGAGAATTTGAAACTAAACGTAATTATTTTTATGCATGCAGAGTTCGTATTCAAAAGCTGATCATCAAACTGATGTACTAGTTTGTGCAAAAGCTTTCTGTGGCCTCCAATAATTTTTCATTAAAAATAGTCATCTCTATTTTTGCAATGAACTGCAATGAATGGATTGACCCAGTTGAAGAACGAAAATTACTTGTTAAGTCTAATAAGCAACTAATTAACTAAGGGTGGGTACATCTAATGTTTCTATAGGTTTGCATACAAATAATTATGAAACTAACTCCAATATTAAATATTTCAATAAAATATTCTATAACTACTTTTTACGATTTTCCATTGGTTAAAAACCAACGCTTCTTCTCCTCTAATTTCATCAATGTTTATTAAAGTCAAGTGTCTCAAAACTTTTGATGATTCCGTTAAACTATTCCATTGATCAATACCATCGATTCTACCTAAATCTTCAAAATTACCACCTGCAGTAAACATTTTCGATTTTAAAAATAATTTAATCATAAATTATATTTTTAGATGAATTTTTAAGCTTAATAACCAACCTGCTGCTGCATATAATGTCGGCAACCAATCTGTAATATGAAAAGTGTTTTCAGACACTCTACTTTTCTTTTTCAACCATGGACTCCAAAAAGCAGCCACTCCACGCACACCACCTTCAAGTACAGCTCCTTTTTCCTAAATATTTTATATTGTAAAAATTGTCATTATACATTAAGATTAACTTAAATTTTTATAATAGATGTCTTATATATCTAGGCATGGAATAGCATGGTGGGCATATGTCGATCTAGTTATAGTGTATTTAAACATTTTCCTTTGCCTCCTGCATTTGGCAATGTTATGTTGATATAAAATGCGTATTGACCTTTTTTTTCATTATCTGAGTAAAAAAGGTGGCAAAAAAATAACTTATTATTTAAACAATTTTTTTGGTGGACCTCATTATGAGTTTCTTTATATGCTTCTGCTTTTTTTGAATTTAAATACTCAGATCTTATGTAACTGGACATTTTCCATGTGGCTCTCTGGAGTCTTAGTCTACACCCCTTCCTCGTATATATCAATTTAAATTGTTAACTAAATGCATCATTAAAATATACGAGTATGTTAATACAAACCCCTCTCAGTGGCCAATTAGAACCAGAATTTCCATAGCCCCAAATTGGATCGTCAGCTGGAGCACCATTATCTGCGATGAACAAAACAATACTATCTTCAAGTAATCCGTTATTATCTAGAGACTTAATAATACTGCCAACTGAGTCATCCAAAGATTTCATCATACCTATAGTCAAAATTATTATTTAATCATTTATTTTTTCAACTTGTTTCATATTATTTATAACATTAAAAAAAATTAATGTAAGTATGGGATAAGTTATAAAATGTTTTAAAATACTATTTCATGAAAACAAAAGTATACTAATTATACTTATATTTTTACTAGCTTATATCTTTTTGAAAAATAATTGTCAAACTATAAGTATATAAATATAATTTTAAGTCAATTCCAAATTGGGTTGGAACCTTGGGTTAGAAATAAAGAACCGAGAACATACTGGAACCTCAAATTATTTCTTTTAATCTTTTAAAGAACTGAAACTCTACCAAAAACCGGTTCATTTAAGCTTCATAAAATAAATTATAAACTATATCATTATGTAAGTCTATATAACTCACTGTGCTACCAACACTTTGCTAAAATATTAATTATGTTATTGTTACCATAATCACATTTGGCGGTAGAAATCATAATAGCGTATGATTAATCAGATGTTTTATGGTGTAATCACAGATTATACAAAAAAGTAATAGGTAATCAAATATCATAATATCATATTATGAATTATGGGTAGTAATGTAATGAAAGAATATTTTCAGTAATGGGAATATTCTTGAAATTATTCTTTTGCAGATTATTACAAGAAAATATACTATTTAAATTAAAATAGAACTAAATAACTTCTTTACGAATATTTAAATAAACTTAAAAATTATTTGAAGTAATAAATATTTATCATGGAAAAATATTATTAAAAAAATATCAATTACTTTTATTTGGTTAATAGTTTCAAGATAACAAAAATATAAAAATTCTTTAAAAACATTTGACTCAAAAAAATGATTCAATGGCTTCATATTTATGTTATTGCATTTTTATGGCTTCTTAAAATTTTCTGCATTCCAATGGCTTCTTAATGTTTTCTACAACTTTATGGCTTCTTATTTATGTAATTGCATTTATAATGCTTATTAATGTTTCTTCAATTTTATGATTTTTTAATGTTTTATTTGTTGTTCAAATACTAAAAATATTATTTTTCATAAAAAAATGTTTTTGTGTAAACGAAAATTCGTTAATTTCTATTTGTCCGTTATGTAAAAATTTGGTTACTTTTAAATATAACTTTAAATCATTTGTTAACTTGGAAACTTTAAATTGAATAATTCATTAATTTTTATTCTAAGTAAAATATATCTCTAATTATATTTTATCAAATTATCTAAAGCTAAATAGATAAATTTGTAAGTTACCAATTTTTAATTTGTTTGTCATTTCAGGAACATTTTACAGTAAAATAAAGTATAATTAAAAGTCAAAAAGAATATTTTTATCTTTATTGAATATAAATATTATAGTAAATCGTTTTTAAAACTATTTTTAATGTTTAAAATATATTATAGAAATGTAATAATAAAATAGAGAAAGTTTATTCATTTTTAAGATACTTTTTTTAATAAGAGGGTCATTATAAAACCATCCATAGATGTTTAAAATAATAATTTGAAATTTATATTAAAATTGATAACTATGATACCCATCTTCAAGAAATAATAATAATAAAAAACTAATTTTTTTAACTACAAGCCTTTTAAAAGCATTTTTTAATTGGAACCCTTATAAAAGAAAAGTTTAGGAATCTCTGATAGAAAATTTGAATTTTTTATTTTAGAAAACTTTTTAAATCCTGTTCTTAAATTCTAAATCCTAAGTTCTAAAACTTAAAGGTTCGAATTCCTGGTCAATTCTCCTGTTTTTTTACTATCTACAGTAATTTTAATAAATGAAAAGCTTTTTTGTACAACATTTTTTTAGAGTTGATTGAATTTATTAAAATTCCTTAAGACTGTTAATACACAGTTCTTATACTCTTCAATTATAATTCCACAGTTTCTTTGGAACGTGGGAGAAAGATGTTCGGAAGTCTCATTTAAATTTAATAGACGGTTATTTTCTTTGTACCACTTATAAATGAATAAATAACATAACTATTTCTATTATTTAATACGCTATTTATATTGTATGTATATATATTTTTAGTTCATATCTTATAGATTCATAGTAAATATAGTAAATACACGGTTATATATAAGAATGGTGAAGTTTTTATACAAAAAAATTAAATTATTCAAGTAAAAATATATTTAATATAAATAAAACCTTTTAAAATTTAACTTATAAATTATAAAAACAACACTAAGTTTAATTCAATCAAACATTTTATTAGATTAATTAAAAGAAATAATTAAATGCTAAATATATTTTATTAACTGGCTTAAATTTATAAATAAAACCTTGAAAATGAATATCAATATGTAAATAAACAAATGTAACTTAATCAAAAATTTTATACTTGAATGTATTCATTATGCGTAATCTTTTATAAATATAAAGCCATGACATTTATCAAACAAGACACATGCTGTTTTTTTTTATAAATAATATAAAAATTCCAACATCATATAGCCACCGATGAACGCTTTTTGAAAGTATTTTCATTACCCGTCGGCAAATTAATGTAGCAGAAAAACATAAGATTTTATCGGATTTAAATTTAATGTTAAAATAATTTATTATTTTATTTGTATAGAATAGATACTTGCACAGAAAAAAATAAACAACTAATAATATTTTAACATAATTCATTTTATGATTGATCTTAAAAATAAGCTATAGAAACAATCCATAATCTTTTGGAGTATAACTCAAGGAAATAAGTTTGATAGATAGTTAAAATTTATGATCATAGTAATGCTTTTACACTACAGATACTTTTTAAATTATATTTTTATATCTCTTGGGAATAAAAATTTCCAAAAATTTTTTTTAATAATTTACCGATAAATTATTGAAAGAGAATGGTACCAAACAGATCATATATAATGTTATCAGAAAGGAAAATATTATTTTTGACCTCCTGAAAGTGAGAAAAAAATGAGTTACTGTCTTATTTGTTGTGCATATTGATTTACTAATAATCACTTATAAAATATTCAATTAATGGAGGTTATATCTATAAATGAGTAAACAAAAAAAGAATTATTTTATTTTAGAGACTTACTGTGGTATAAGTTATAATTTTATTATTACCTGTCAAATTAAAGTATACTAAAATCTTACCGGCAAAAAGTCTTCTATCTTCATTTTTAATATACTTGAATATTTCATTATTGTATGTTTTATTGGAAACTTCTAGAAGATTAGGCCCAGGATCTCCAGTATGTACGGCTAAATGACTAATCATAAGAAACATAGGTTTTTCTTGATTTTTTTGTGATTCAATAACTTTTGATGCTTCTTCTGTGAAAAGTTCAGTAGCGTATTTGTCACTCATTTCATTGCCAGCTCGTTTGAATCCACGTCGAGCATCTTTTCCACTAAATTTATTCTTAAATTTACAAATATAAATACTATAATTACTTTTACTAAATAAAATGTATAATTATGTTAAGGAAATACATACAGTACTATGAGTGCTGTTTCTGTAACTTATAAATCCATTCCAATACCCAAAATGGGTATCAAACCCTCGTTCAGTGGGAGTAAATCGTCTTTCATAAGATCCTAAATGCCATTTTCCTACTAAATGAGTTGCATATCCCAAATCTTTTAAATACTAAATTTATAAAATGTAAAGAAAATTTAAAAATAATAGATATTTAATTAAAGCAGTTAAACCAATTAATTTACCTGAGGTAAAATTTTCTCAGTTATTGGTAATGCTAAAGGTTGGCCTGCAATAATAGGAGTACCCTGAAGCCCTAAAAGAATAAATACTATAATTAATTCAATTAATCTTTCAAACATTATTTTTAGCGCAATTCCTTGCAAAACTTTTTCTATCAGAAATATTATCGTATAAATATTCTCTCATGTAATTAATTCAATAATTTAATACAATTTTAAGAATGAAAACACATTCAATAGTATAAATAGCATAATTTAAAATTAAACTAATGTAACTTAAAAATAAATTATATAAAAATTCCTGAATGTTTCAAATGATAGAACTCAACAAAATTATGAGTTTGTCAGGCGTATTTGCAAGTATAACCAACACGAAAAATTAATTAATTCAAGATATTTAAAGCGATTAATTTTTTTTTTTTATAACATTAAGGACAATAATGTCTTGCATTTCGTATTTATATGAGCTTAAATTGTGTATAAATATTAATAAATTTATCAAACCTTTGAATTATTATCAAAATATTATCGAGATGAAGTGTCGATTATTGAATATTTTACAGTAAAATGTTATGAATCTGAAAACTTTTACCAAAGTAAATTATTGCAACTCATGGTATATGCCTATCATTTCTTACAAGATAATATTCTAATTTTTAAATATTATATTTATTCTAATCATTAATTATTATCTATAGTCAATCATAGATAATAGTTCTAAGTGTATAAATCATTAGAACTAATTCAAGGTCGTATCCAGAATATTTTTCGGGAAAGGTCCGTAATATGTTATGTTAATTTGGTTTAATACATATTTTTTTTTAATTTCGAGAATTATCGGACACTTGTACCCCCCTTAAATCCGGCCTTAAGCTAATAAACCCCGTAAATGGGTTACGGGGAACGAGGGAAATTTTTTCAAATTTTGAGGGTAATGTCTTCGACTAGATACGATTTGTGATCTTTTGACGTATCGTTGAAAGAAATCTGTTCAGTGAGAACTGAGAAAAAGTGGTAACAGACACAAAAAAAAAAAACACATCATAGTAAAACCAATACCTTTTCAGCTTCGCATCGAATCTAAAATTGAAAAAATTTCGAAAATTAGTGATTTTTAAAATTGTAATTTTTTTGGATATTTTCCCCATTTATGGGGAACGAGGAAATTGGTTCAGTTTTTAATGGTAATGTCTTCGTCTAGATACGATTTATGATCTTTTGACGTATCGTTAAAAGAAATCGGTTGGGTGAGAGCTGAGAAAAAGTGATAACAGACACAAAAAAAAAAGTAATAATAATAAAATAAAAAAACACATCATAATTAAAATTAATAATCTACTCAGCTTCGCATCAAAGCTAAAATAAATCCAGCTGAAAAAATTATCATTATTCAGGGACAGATGTACCAATATTATATACAATTTTTTTTGATAAGTGGACTCTCCAAACCCGCAAAATTTAAAAATTCTTGTCATTTTCTGAACACACCTCGTTCCTTAAACTCGTATCAACTTTGAATCTTCAAATTATAATCTCAATTTTTTTATAAGATCAAATTTATTCAATAAAAAACATTTTTTTTTGTTTTAAAACTTTGTTTTATTTTATTTGATTTTCAACAAGTTACAGCTGTTTACCGTTTAGGAGTAATTAAAAAAATACATATTTATATTTAAAAGATAGTTATTATATTATGTATTTTATCAATAATGGATGAAGGTTAGTAAAAATACGACAAACATGGTAACGATAAAGACACTGTCTTTTAAAAATAAGTGCCTATTTTTATAATTACCCCTAAACTGTTAACAGCTGTAATTCGTTAAATTTTTTTTTTTTCAATTGAAAAAATCTGATGATATAAAAAATAATTCGTGTCATATAGATGGAAATGAGGCAAATTTTTTAAAGGCTAACATGTTTTATATAAAGATAGCATAGAGGCTTTGTTCCCACAACACCTTTGTGTGTATTCCTTCCTAATTTAGTTTGATTAATAATAATATATAATATTACATTAATATCAAATAATATCTATAAAATTACAACTATTGTAAATCAATAACTTCTTTGTATTCAAATTTATCAATGAATTTAACTTTCTAAAAACAAAAATTAAACACTTAAAAAGCTAAATATCAAATACTTATTTTATAAAAAGTGATTCATTTATCATGATCGATTTAATTAATCAAAAAATAAAAATAATATTGAGGATTATATTTAACTTCTACTATTTTCCCAACTATTTGGAGTCGGCTCTGCCTTAACGTTCTGACAGAATATCACACTGGCTGTCGACCTAACCCATTCTCATTATGGCTCAGGAAGCCAGTATGGAGGTAAAGTGTATGTCACTGATTAAGGTCCCGTATGGTCACCCATTTGGGAACCAACAGCAAACAGCGCAGCTGAACATCAGTGCTAAAGTGATTTCTGAATAAACCACTACGCCACATCACGCATCAATCTAATTAAGAAAATGACAAGTCAATAACAACTTTAGGATTAATATTTCAGTGAAATATATATATTCAAATTAAGTTCAATATTTTAGTGCTCATAATATTTCCGAAAAAATTACTATAAAGCTTATAAACTTTAAATTATCATTTATATATGACATGTTAATCAATCAATCCTACGCGAAGGAGTTTTATAAGACCGTGGTCATGTAAATCTCCTAGATCACTGGTGCTTATTGTAAAAATATACGTAATTTACAGATTGTACAAATTAAAAACAAAAATCTATAAATGATTTTAGATAATAATTAATGATTTGAATAGATATAATATTTGTTATTCTTTAGTAATCACACCTTGTTTAAGACAATATCAGTATATTCAAGAATACTAAAACTAATAAGGTACTAATTAAAACCTTTAATGTTCCAAGCAATTAGAACAATGTAAACTAAACACGTATACTTTAGTGTAAAATTAATAACGAATCTTTAAGAAAAAATTTACGTAAACAAACGAATATAAAATTTCTAAAATATCATTATATGTTATAGCGTAATTTTTTTATTATTAATTTCATCTGATAACTAGATAAAATTATTATTTTATTCAAAATTAAAAAAAGTTTCCTAAACATTCTCACAATTAGAATGTACCTATTAAGACACATTTAAGTATTAACTTACTCGTTGATTAGTATATAATTTGATTGTCCATAATTTAACGTTCCTCTTAATTTTGTTTAATCATATTTAATTTAATGTTAAGTTATGCATAAACATAAAAAAATCTAGTAAATAAAATAATTATAAATTTAATAATAGGGTTTTAACCGGGAATTCTCAGGCAGTTAATATCATTATATTATAATAAGATAAACTAATGTTAAAATCCTGATGTCTATTAACATCTAAATAAAAAAAACATGTTTTAATTGAGGAAAAAAATTATACCGTATCGTATTGGATATTTTCCTGTTAATAATGCAGCTCTCGAAGGAGTACATGTTGGTTGGACATAATGACGATTCAATATTACTCCATTATAAGCTAAAGCATCTATATTTGGTGTTGGTATTTGAACTGATCCGTGAAATCCTACATCATTCCAACCCTATTGAAATATTTAAACAATGACATTACATTAAGTAAAATTAATTAGCCACAAGTGATCAATTTTTATTATATAATGACATTACAGTTAAAACTTTTTTCTTAAAATTAATCTGTTTTTACACGAAAATATGAAACAATCATATCATTTATTTTGATAAAGATTCAATGTCAACTTTAATATTTTTAATAAAATTAAGTAGTTAAGATCAAACTTTAAGTGACTAATTTCTCGGTTAAATTCGAAGTCAAGTAAAAGCCAAATACTCGCATTTTAGCTTCGATGCGAAGCTGAGAAGGTATTGGTTTTTACTATGATGTGTTTTTTTTTTTTTTTTTTTTTTTTTTTTTTTTTTTTTTTTTTTTTTTTTTTTGTGTCTGTTACCACTTTTTCTCAGCTCTCACCGAACGGATTTCTTTCAACGATACGTCAAAAGATCACAAATTGTATCTAGTCGAAGACATTACCCTTCAAAATTGAAAAAATTTCCCTCGTTCCCCGTAAATGGGGGAAACCTCCAAAAAAATTACAAATTTAAAAATCGCTAATTTTCGAAATTTTTTCAATTTTTTTTACTAAAAACTGCCGTAACTTTTTCAAAAATGAATATATCAATATAATTTTTTTTTATATAGATGCTTGATGTCTTTACCTATCATTTGGTATACTTTTTTTGTAAATTCAACCTTTTTTCTACCCACAGGGGGGGATTTAAAATGACAACTTTTTCACAAAAAATTAACTTTTTCAACTTAACTTTTGAAAATGTTCCGGAAGGTCTGACACTTTTATATATATCTTAAATTAAAGCTAATGTAATGTACTTTAATTTGAAAAAAAAAAATTTGACCTCTGGACTTGTCTTCATGGTGAAAACGGCTACCGAATGCAATTTTTGTGTGAAAATTTTCGATTTTATAATTTACATTTTTTACTTTAAAGTGCTATAACTTTTTAAAAAATGTATGGATCAATACAATTTTTTCATGAGAAGTAGTATTTATATACATCTTTCATTGGATATACTTTTTTTTAAAATCAGACTATTTCCCTATATATGGGGGGGCTTAAAATATAAAAAATGCATATAGAAAGTAGAACTTTTTCAACTTAACTTTTGAAAATGTTCCGGAAGGTCTGACACTTTTATATATATCTTAAATTAAAGCTTATGTAATATCCTTTAATTTGAAAAAAAAAAATTTGACCTCTGGACTTGTCTTCGTGGTGAAAGTTGACATCAAAGTTAATAAAAAATTACGATTTTTGTAAAATAATTTTTTTTTATATTTTTAACTTAATAATCCTCTAACTTTTTCAAAAATGAACATATCAATATAATTCTTTTTTATATAGATGTTTGATGTCTTTACTTATCATTTGGTATATTTTTTTTGTAAATCTGACACTTAACCTGCCCACAGGGGGGGATTTAAAATGACAACTTTTTCACAAAAAATTAACTTTTTCAACTTAACTTTTGAAAATGTTCCGGAAGGTCTGACACTTTTATATATATCTTAAATTAAAGCTTATGTAATATCCTTTAATTTGAAAAAAAAAAATTTGACCTCTGGACTTGTCTTCGTGGTGAAAGTTGACATCAAAGTTAATAAAAAATTACGATTTTTGTAAAATAATTTTTTTTTATATTTTTAACTTAATAATCCTCTAACTTTTTCAAAAATGAACATATCAATATAATTCTTTTTTATATAGATGTTTGATGTCTTTACTTATCATTTGGTATATTTTTTTTGTAAATCTGACACTTAACCTGCCCACAGGGGGGGATTTAAAATGACAACTTTTTCACAAAAAATTTACTTTTTCAACATAACTTTTGAAAATGTTCCGGAAGGTCTGACACTTTTATATATATCTTAAATTAAAGCTAATGTAATATACTTTAATTTGAAAAAAAAAAATTTGACCTCTGGACTTTTCTTCGCGGCGAAAATGGCTACCGAATGCTATTTTCGTGTGATAATTCTCGATTTTATTATTCATATTATATTTAACTTTATAATGCTATAACTTATTGAAAAGTTTATGGATCCACACAATTTTTTTATGAGAAATAATTTTTTTTAATAAACCCTTTTTCATTCGACATACTTTATCTTAATCGAGATAATAAGGAACCAGCAGATCAAGTAGCTTTTGGAATAAAACACCAATTTTTTTAAAATTAAACACTATCTAAAGATTTGCATCGAAGCGTTTATTTTTGATAGTGATTTTAATCACTGTCAGATATCATTATACTTGATCCAACTATACCACGTCACAACTGTGCCGCGACCCCCTTAAGTAGTTAAGATCAAACTTTAAGTGACTAATTTCTCGGTTAAATTCGAAGTCAAGTAAAAGCCAAATACTCGCATTTTTTTTATCTAATTTTAATCATTAAAAAAGAATTGATCATAATTAATGATAAATTATTCTATACAAAATGATCGTGGGAGGTGAGCATATAATACTTATATGGTGTTTACGAATAGTAATAACAAGCAGTACTTAAAATTATCATTGTATAACAATATAATAATTATATAATTTAAGAGTTACCAAAAACATGTAATTTAATGGATTTTCCCGCAATCACTCAGTCACTTTTTTTTTAACGTGTTTAACAAGTTAATCAATAGTTGTATAACACACAATAATTTTGAACAACAATTTTTAAAACTATAATAAAAATGGTTAAAATTTACGTATTTAAAATTTTTTTATATGACCTTATGTTAAAAATAAGTATTGTTTAAACACACCAACATTATCGGAAACATTTGGAGGAGATAGGTGTTGCAACCTTATGCCTCCTATAATTGTTATATTTATTTGTAACTCTATGTTAGTGCGACCAATGATATGAAATAAATAAATTTTTGGTTATGGCACCGTTGTTAAAAAGGAATGTGCAGGTTAAAAAAATATACATTGTGTATGCAAATATTTTCAATGTAAAAAAATACTTATTGAATAATATCAACATGAAAATAAAAAATTAACAAGTAATATAAATATATTAAAGTATTTATAAAAATAATTACTAACTAAATCATCTGCTACAATAAGTATAATGTGAGGTTGTTTCTTCGGAGCTTGTTGCGAGAAACATTGGGTTATTGGCCGCAATATCAATATTATTGTCAAGAAACAACGCGAGTAACCGATCAACGCACTCATAATGGTTACTGTTATGATCGTCAATACCTACTACCGAGATATATGAAACGTGCGTTGATACACACAATAATAAGACCGGCCCAAGATATATGTTGTGTGACTTCGACGTCACGTTTGTTTTACGGTGACGAGGCCACATAATAACTTATAACATTATTTATCTCACGGATTATTAGACGTCATTACATGGTCCAAGTCGGACAAAAAAAAAAAATGTTTCAACTCGACGATTTTGTCTTAACTAATATGAAATATTTTATCGAACCCTTACTACTTCTTAACACTACTGTAAATCCTTTCATTAATAAATTTCTGAGATTCCAGTTCAGTGCTAATAACATGTGCATTAATATAACACATTGATGAATTAAGAATATCACAATTTTTTTAGTATATATTTTTACTGTGGAAAGTTGTTGCATTTACATAGTGACTTATCTAATTTACTTATTAAATTTAAATTTTATATTACTAAAAAAATTACTTAAGTTTATTAAAAAGATAGATTATTATTAGAAAATTTAAAAGTAGAAAAAAAAATTCAAAACGAAATAGCTACATTTTTTTAACTAGAATTTGAAAAGGGGTTATCTTTATTTATAATTACGGATTTGATCAGATAATGCTAAACCAAATCACCTTAAAACTATAATAACTTATAACTTACATTATAAGACCATAAGCCCTAAAGTTTAAATTGGCCTTCGAAAATATGTATGATTTAAATTTTACATCTTTTCAAAATTATTTTTGTTTTCTGTCAATTATACATGTTGTTACAGTGAGTAGGTTACAAGTTCATGGTCATTAATTAAAAGCATTAATCAACATCAATAATATATTGTTTAAGGTTTATCACTCCTTATATAATAATTATTGATTTTTAAATATAGAGTAAAGAAGGGTAAGGGTCCAATAATGAAATAAATAATTACATTTTATTGTTATGAACCAATAGTTGATAACTATCAAATCTTTTTACATATTTTCTAGTCATTACAACATCATCGAGCTTTGATTATATTTTTGTGTTACATTTCAGTATTTATGAACATTATTTAAGTATATAAAACAATTTTATACGACTTGAATTTTTTCGTTGGATATACAACATTTTGATTGATTAATATTGAGTAATGACATGTTGTACATAACTTTTAGCATGAAATATAAAGAAAAAATGTTGATTTGGATAAAAGTACAACGTAGCTCTAAACTAATACAATTTATACTTATTTTGAATAAAATTAGATTTATACATTTTATAAAAAGTTAATAATTAATCTATTAATTTTCTTTCAACTTTATTTGCTTTATTTATTAAAAAATATTATTTTTGAGAAAATAAATTTAATAGAATAAAGTTCATTCTTAAAAATGGAGAAAGTATATGTTTAAAATAAATGCAACAAATTATTTTTATAATAAATTTTAAAATGTGTCCAGTAGGTTATTTAAAATTATAAATATATAATTTAAACAAATATTATATTATTAGAATATAGGGTAGTCGATATTTGTAAAATGTGTTTTTTTTAGGGTTTAATACTGTGTTTTTAGGGATTTTTTTGGCAATCAATAATTATTTAAAATAATAACAAAATTATACTAGATATAATTATTCCTGGTAAGCTCAATATGGTAAAAAAACTGAACAATTTTTCCATTCAAAATCGTCTGCTAGTTCAAGTAAAATAAAAGAAACCCAGCACAGGGGGGTCGCGGCATAGTGGTGACGTGGCATAGTTGGATCAAGTATAATGATATCTGACAGTGATTAAAATCACTATCATAAAAAACGCTTCGATGCAAATCTTTAGNTAAAAAAAAAAAAACGCTTCGATGCAAATCTTTAGTGTTTAATTTTAAAAAATTGGTGTATTATACCAAAAGCTACATGATCTGCTAGTTCCTTATTAATATCCTGATTAAAATAATGTATGTCGAATAAAAAAGGGATATAAATATTATTTCTCATAAAAAAATTATGTTGATCCATACACTTTTNCATAAAAAAATTATATTGATCCATACACTTTTCAATATGTTATAGTATTATAAAGTTAAAAATGAAAAAAATAAAATTGAGAATTTTCACACAATAATTGCATTTGGTAGCCATTTTCACCACGAAGACAAAATAAAGTCCAACATTTTTTTTTTTCCATAATTAAGTATATTACATTAGCTTTAATTTAAGATATATATAAAAGTGTCAGACCTTCCGGAACATTTTCAAAAGTTAATTTTTTGTGAAAAAGTTATCATTTTTAAATCCCTCCNTTTGTGAAAAAGTTGTCATTTTAAATCCCCCCTTGTGGGCAGGTTAAGGGTTAAATTTATGAAAAAAATATACCAAATGAAAGGTAATGATATTATGCATCTATATAAAAAAGAATTATATTGATATGTTTATTTTTGAAAAAGTTATGGCACTTTTAAGTAAAAAAAATTGAAAAAATTTCGAAAATTAGCGATTTTTAAATTTGTAATTTTTTGGGGGATTTCCCCCGTTTACAGGGAACGAGGGAATTTTTTTCAATTTTTGAGGGTAATGTCTTCGACTAGATGTCAGACCTTCCGGAACATTTTCAAAAGTTAATTTTTTGTGAAAAAGTTATCATTTTTAAATCCCTCCCCTGTGGGCTGTTAAGGGATCAAATGTTCACAAAAATATATAAAATGATAGGTAATTATCTAAGGTATCTATAAAAAAAAAAATTATATTGATTCGATCATTTTTAAAAAAGTTATGGCAATTTTAAGTAAAAAAAATTGAAAAAATATCGAAAATTAGCGATTTTTAAATTTGTAATTTTTTGGGGGATTTNATAAAGTTAAAAATATAAAAAAGAATTTTTTTACAAAAATCGTATTTTTTTTATTAAGTTTAATGTCTGTTTTCACCATGAAGATAAAATAAAGTCCGAAATTTTTTTTACCATAATGAAGTATATTACATTAACTTTAATTTAAGATATACATAAAAGTATCAGACTTTCCGGAACACTTTCAAAAGTTAAGTTGAAAAAGTACTACTTTCTACATGCATTTTTTAGATATGAACCCCCCTCGTATATAGGGAAATGGTCCGATATTAAAAAACAGTATGTCAAAAGAAAGATATATATATAAATACTATTCCTCATAAAAAAATCGTATTGATCCATACATTTTTAAAAAGATATAGCATAATAAAGTTAAAAATGTAAAATAAAAAATCGAGAATTTTCACACAAAAATAGCATTTGATAGCCATTTTCACCGTGAAGACAAAATAAAGTCCGAAAATTTTTTTTTTCATAATTAAGTGCATTACATTAGCTTTAATTTAAGATATATATAAATGTGTCAGACCTTCCGGAACATTTTCAAAAGTCAAGTGGAAAAAATTAATTTTTTGTGAAAAAGTTGTCATTTTTATATTATGTTACATTTTTAATAGATTCTTACTCTCTGGGATAATTCGTTTTAAGCTTTTATGCGAAGCTGAGAAGGTATAAATTTTACTATGAAGTTTTTTTTTTATGTCTGTCGCCACTTTTTCTCAGCTCTCACTGGACCGATTTCTNTTTTTTTGTGTCTGTCACTACTTTTTCTCAGCTCTCACTGGACCGATTTCTTTTAACAATACGTCAAAAGATCACAAATTGTATCTAGTTGAAAACATTACCCTTAAATATTTAAAAATTTTCCCTCGTTCCCCGCAAATGGGGGAAATATCCAAAAAAATTACAAATTTAAAAATTGACAAATTTTATCATTTTTTTCACTTTTTTTTCTTAAAACTTCCATAACTTTTTCAAAAATCAACAAATCAACATAATTTTTTTTTAAACTAAAACCTTAGATAATTTTCTTTCATTTGATATAATTTTTTTGAAAATTTAACACTTA